CCACCCCCTCGCCCTCCCACCTAAAAAAAAAACTGCCAAGAGGTTGTTGGCCACCAGAAGGCTAACGTGTCTAAGCAAAGTGGATGCTCAGAGGCATCTGCTAGTCTATGATCTTGCTCCATAAAAATCGTGCAAGGAGCAACCTGCTGATGCAGTGGACATTATTGTCTCTCGAGGGTCTCAAGAAGCACAGCCAAAAGATTTCATGCCTAGTTGAAAGCTCGTGTCATTCTGACTGGTCCATGTAAATAAACAGTTAACACAATGAATTGTAATTCGGGCAAACTTATTTGTTGCTTACTTACAGGCCTGAACCAAAATCTTTAGAGACTTAATAATGTGTAGGACTAGCTCTCTGTAGACCACTTTGGTATTTCTCATTTCTCTTGGCCTCTTGATGAGCTTCCGATACCTGTCGCTTGCGCCGTCAAGTTGAACCACAAGTTGAACCGGGTTTTCTTGGTGTGGCCACCGAGATTTTATGATGCCCATGGGATGGACCAGCCACTTCATTGTTCTTTTTTTCATTTTTCCTCTATGTGTGTTCTCTATCCTCTCAGGATCTGCACATGACAATGTAAGAACAGATTAGTTTTTCTCGTCACAACACACACACTTGCAGAAGAGAAACAGGGCTATGAAACATTGCATAGTGCTGCTCCTACTATCCTTTTGTTTTTGTTATAATCCTCTTTGCCCCAGCCACTCTCGCTTTACATTACAGTTGATCGTAGATTAGACTGCATAGATCACTATAACAGAACCTAGCATGCTGATTGTTACATATTCAGCTTGATAGGTTGGCCAGCAATCAAGTGGACGTCACAAAAAGGTTACCACGGACACTACCTTTTGTCTATTGGGGTTCCCTGTCCCTGAGGCTTGTTGGAGTGATTTTCATGCCTTGAGAATCTGTATGGATATGCAAAAAAAGAACACATAATGCAAATGATGGAATTTTATGTGCAACAAACAAAAAAAATGCCTAACGCAAGTTTTAATTGTTTTGAGGGGTGTGCTTTGGGAGGTGTAAAAACTTTCGAAAGAATTACACATGGAAGGACGGATAGCACATCTCGCGATCGAGCTCTGCTGTCTACATTCAACCCCTTCTAAAGGTTTCAAGATTTTAAAAGTGTCTTTAAAAATTAAATTATGTTACTATCCAGCTTTCTATTTATTTCTGAAAGAAATAAAACATGGCGAAACTAGTGGCAGGGCTGTAAAAGAATCTACACGAGATAAATTAATAAACACGGGCAGATATTATAAGATGAATTCTGAAATATTATTAACTGGGAGAATATTTGTATATAGACTACAATTTACTCGACAGGGGTCTACACTGCTGTGCACGAAATTGACGAGAGGTAGAGCAGGTGATATTTCGCAAACAGTAGTCTACAGATCATAAAATATTTGCCGGACGGTCGTCATCCACAAAACCACGTGCGAACGCTCGCCGAAATGTGTGCGTCGCAATGAAATCACGGTGACATTTTGTAAATTTCAAAAATGAAACGATATATTCAATTACCTAAAAGAGTACAAAACCCTCAAATGGTGCTATTTGTGGCTGGAAGATCAGCTTAGGAAATGTTTCACTTGGGGTGAAAACTTTCAAACTCACCGTCGTCAGTTGGGATCCGAACGAACGGGTGCTTCTTGTTCCCGACGCTGCTTGGGCACGACTTCGCGTAACCGCACGAATGAGGTAGTTCAAAGACACGAAAAGCTTTCCACTTGCCCGAAAGTGCGAGGCTCGCGCAATGCGATGATCGACGCGCCGACGCTTGACGCAGCGAAGACGAGCGAAAGCCCCGAGCAGACTAACGGACGCCTCCACAACGGTCCACCGGTTTCAGAACGCGCAGAGCGCAAGCGCGCATGCGCACAGGCAGCGGTTTCGTTTTAGAAACGCAAAAAAAGAAACAGAAGAAAAGCAACATTTTGAGAGTGTGATGTTGACATAAACTTTAAAAAAACTATGTTATAGTTTTAGGAATACGTAATTTGTATTTAGTGAAATAATATGCAGTCATAACTACAGTTGAATGAAGTTTGATTTATTATTGTTTTCTTTAGTTTTTAATAATGAGCGCTTCCGACCACGCGAGCGCTGCTGTACACCTCTATGGTGGCGCCATCCGTGTTCGGGCCGCGCAACTCGCTCTGTGTCCGGAGGTTGGCCCGGGCAGCCCGGGCGCGCGGCCGGCGCGGCGCGCTCCGTCTAGAGCGGCACTCGCTTTGTTTCGTGATGGCGTCGTCTCGGCAGGATCCCGGCTACGAAGCTCGAATTGCCTCACTTATGAATGTTTGTGTAGTGAGGTGCGTCACAAATGCAAGAACTATCCCCTGGCGTCGGCTGACTACTTTCGCGGCTGCGTGTGAGCAGTACCTACGGAGCGTGAAGAAAAAGAAGAAGCGAAAGGCCGTCCGCGAGCTCCTGAAGCCTCGAAAAACGCTCGTATGCCACCATCGTGAGACAGATGGTCGAAGACCCCGACGGCCGGGAATTCTTCGAGTGCTTCCGAATGTCACGAGCCAGGTAGGGCGTGCTGCTTTTTATTTTGGATTATTTTCATGTTATATATCAAGTGGCGTTCCACATGGGCCCGCGCGTCGCGCGCAGGGATGCTCACCTGCAGCGTGCGTTCCCGCAGTGAAAGCACGTTTATATCATTTTTAACGCGGCAGGATCACGAGAGCAACTTTCGTAACAGTCACATGCATGTCAAATTTTACTGCGTCTGTGCTATAAAAAATAGCAATGGCATGCACATGTGCAGCTCGTACGACACACCCTTTCGGTCCACTATGGTCACGGTGTTGTGCTCCTTTGAGTGCATGTATGACGGAAGCCCGTTGTGCTTCCTTGTCCTTTGTGCTAGCTAGGATGTGTGCTTACAAGCTGCTTATGAGTGAATTCTGCACGAAAGCTCGCGCTGCAGAACCCAGGGATCTTGGGTTCCATCCCCACCCCTACCCGTTTCGATCTGGATGAGCATCGTACCAGCAGACGTTCGTGTTTCACTACTGCGTGACGGGTGTTAAAGACCTTAGGCTAGCGGTCGTACAGTACTGCCTAAAAAAAACTGGTCTACAGCGCGTACCAGTGTCGTTGACCTTTTTAACCTTTTTTAAGTGTCGGATGTAGCTCGCACGCAGAATGGTTGCAGCTAGGCACGTAGCCAGGATTTTGTTTCGGGAGGGAGGAGATTTTGTCGGTCGCAGAGTGCCCGAGGCTGGTAAAAATTGTGTGTAAAAAAAATGAACAAATGAGTTGCTTCATTACAATTGTAGTGAACAAGCATGCCCTCAAAGCTGGAAGCTCAGCACATTTGCTTATTAACAACATCCCAGTGCCTTTCCGGTCTCTTTGCAGCCAGCAAGCCAACCACTGCCTGCCTCTACAAACGGCCACTCATATTTGCATTGAAGATGCCGTTTCATCGGGTTGCAACCACCTCCCGTGTCTCCGAAACCGTGTCAATAAATTATTAAACGCAGTATCGAGTTCTTTCACTTGTCCCGGTCCTTGTGGTCGCTACGATACCTGTCGTAGATCCAGGGGTACCGCTGAACTAGCTGAACTAATCCATAGGCTTTCTCGGGTACGTTAAACGCAGCGGCACTCTTCTTTGCAGCTTGAGCTGCTTTCCTCGCGTCGGAGACGGGTGGGAAGTTCATCGCCGGAGCTTTTCTTGCAAGCAAGCACAGAGCGAGAGGCATTCGCACGCGGAACCACGTGAACGCCGGTGGCAAGGAGGGCGATGGAGGGAAGCGCGCCGCGCTGATTGCCCGCGGAGAAAATACGGAAACCTACGTCACGACCCGGGAAGGAGAAAGTTTAAAATTTTTCAACTCTTCAATGCGGGAGCCGGAAGCCGTAATTACGTCACCACCCGTACGGAGGGAGCGGTGACGTCACTACGGGTTCCGGCTCCCGTCTCTGCATTCTGGGTCTGTTTGAACCGGGCTTTATACACCGTTTTACCCTTTCCACCTTCTTCCACGACTCCCGCCACCTGCACAGACATCAAACGCGGGTCCGTAATCTCTCGATTCGGGGTTAACAACTCGCGTAACAGGCGATGTAGTCTCGAGCGAGGGTGTCGAATTCTCTTTGTCTTTGATGTGTGCTACTGTATTTTAGCGCGCTCTTGAGGCACGGCTGAAAAGCGCCCGGCGCGAGGCTAGGAGCATGGTCTTTGAGGGTATGGACGATGCTTCTTTGGTTTACTTGTCTGGGCATGGTGGTTGAATCCACTCCTCACTTTAAAGTCAACTGTCAACATAAAGCGTTGGGGGGGGGGGGGGGGGGGGTTAGGACATCTAAGGAGTGCTGACAGAGGGAGAGAGAAAACGCATAAAAGTGGTGTGATCGTGTATGTTTTGTGAGATTGATGGCCACCGCTTCTCTCGCTCTCTATGTCCTCCATGGCCTCCACGAATATTGGTATGAAAGTGGGAACCGGTGAACTACCGATAACCCGTAACCGCCACTTTTTTTCTGACTGATCGAGTTTTCGGTCCTGGAGTGTCCGTCGCCTCCAGGGCCATCCCTTAATGAGATGTTCAAAATTCAGGGCATTCAGGAGAACAGAATCCTATAGTGTCAGTGCTGCATACTTTGCTTGCCAAAAACACTCAGTGTCATCAGCAAGGACAACAAACTTTAATCTACAGAAAAACACCAAGGTAAGCTGGGACGCCAGCATTCTGCATTGGCTATACATTCTAACGTTCGAACCAAGTTTTCTTTTTTCTTGTGAATAACAGGCGAAACAGCCGAGTCAAAGGGAGCTTTCGTAGATCGTTTCTTTAGCTCGGAATCTTGTTGCGGAGGAAGACGCTCCTACTGAGCTTGCGCACCGCTAGATTTGTCTGCAAAATTCCAGGATTCATTTCCGGAGGCCGTAAGCCAGCGGGATGGCGGTTGTGGTTCCAACTGTCGGTACCTTCTCAGCTTGCAGGTGAACGGAGTGAACCTACACTCATTTCTTTTGAATGCAATATTTTATTTTTAAAAGAACATTAACCATCAGACGGGCGTATAAGAAATGAAAAGTAGAGCTGCGGAATATTTTTTTAAAAAGATCAAAATTGTTTCTATCGTTTTCTGGATAAGTGTACAGAAAAAGTAACGTGAAAATAATTTGTAATATAACGAGAAAAGTAATTTGTTACTTTTCAGCGAAAGCAATTTGTAACGGTAATTAATTACAGTTGAGGCTTGGTAATTTGTAATTGTGATTCATTTCATTTTTCGAGTAACGAGCACAAAGTCTGCCGGTACCTACACACGAATTCAGCTTCCGCGCTAAACTTAGCAGGGAAATTGACGTCACGTAACCTTATGTCACGTTGACTGTACAATGTATTTTATTTTCTAAGTTTAGCAGAAAAGTTAACATCACGTGACCTACACAAAAAGTCAATTTCGTAGACCATTGCACGTATGCTACACAATCGCCCATCTATTGTGTTCCATAAATCAGCATAAAGGTCAATTTTCCATTAAGTAAAAAAAAAGTACACTAATGCTGTCTATTTGGTGTTTCACGGCATCTTACGAACTAACTAGTCTGCATATACTCCGAATTTTATCGCGACTTGTTTTCGAATTTATGTAAGGTGCAATGAAGTTGTCAACGTAGGATGACACTTTGACAAAAAACTGCGGTGCGTATGACCATCCACAATTAAAGGGCCCTCCGCTGACGATGCCATGTTGCGACCACACGCCGCCATTTCTGTGCACAACAGGTCCACCGCTGTCGCCCTGAAATAAAACAAAAAAAAAGCCAAAAATCAAGTATCTCTTTTTTTATGTGCAAGCTTTTGCTCTACGAGTAAACGGCCTTACTAGCTGTTTGATAGAAGAAAGAACAGCGTTTTTTTTAGCTTTGTAAATTAACTACGTGTTTTAGAATGCTTCAAGTCTCTTTGCGTGTGCCGCTAGAGGTAGTGACGAAACGCGAAAGTTAGCGAGGCCAAAATATACAAGGAAAAGACGCAAATTCTATCTTGAGCTAGTCGACTTACACCTGAACTCAACATCTTAGAAACAATAAGTGACCTTCTGGACGCATTGGATATTTATATCGTCACAGATGAAAAACAATAGAGGAATGTCGAACTGAAAATACACGTTTTATGAGGCGGACGTGTGCTTAAAAGGTTGAGCAAAAAGGAACCGTACATTGTACAACGGCGACGAAAGAGCTAGTCTCCAAAGCAGCGAATCATAGTGCAATTTCGCGTCATTTCTTCAAGGATACTTTGAACCAGAATAAACGAGGACAGCCGATAATGGCTTGAAACTGTCCAGAAGTTTGTAGTTTTGAAAAACAAACAAAATGAACGGGCAGAACTGGGTTGGAACATCGTTCCATGAATAGCAGCTACGTTAGTTGCGAACTTCGCCAGACACGCGGCAATATTAGTAGAAAACAGTTTGCAGCAAGAAATGGAGTTGCTTTATCTATATTACCTAAAATTTGGTTTCATGGAGTTAAATCACAAAGTCACCTACAGTGTCCTTTTTGTTGTGATATTATGTTAGGTACAAGTAGGGTCAGAGAAAAATTTGATCCTACGGTTTTTGTCGTTTGATGCAGGTAAGGTCATGCACACAAAACTTTCTCGTTCTATACCCACCGCTAGCTTCATAATTTCGCACAGTTTCGACTTTCCGCAATGCGTACTTTCTCTGAGCGGCCCGAAAAATATATTTATTTCTTCTTCTAAACAGCCGGTGCTTTAAATACATATTAATTTCAATTGAAGTGCCTGTGACCTGGAAATTGTGGGGACAATCCAGATATTTTCGTAGAAGGGTGTTATTTGCTTCGATGGTAATGCTTTAAACATTTGTATGGAAAGCGGAATTACTGATATTAGTTAATAAAATATACCACTTGGCACATAAGTTCGAATTAGTCTGCGGAACATACGAAACGTTCTCGCACTAACCTGGCGTTGTTACATTGAAAAACAAACAATATTATTGAAATCATAGGAGTGCGTTGCGTAAGCATTTCCGTCAGGCTGGTCTTTGTCTTATCGTTTCAATCCTACAAACATTTGCAGAGTTATAATAATGAATCAAATTTGAAAACGTAAAGTTATGTGTGTTTTTCCCCCCTGACGAAATGTTTTGTTTTGAAATCTCATGCAAATCGTATAGCGTATGCACCTACTCGACAATTGAAAGAAATTGCTAAGAAAGCTCTGAGATTTGTAAATAAAAAGTACAATGACGTTAAGTGTCATGTCTAGCGTGTCTCGAAAACTATAAGCCAGTACCTAAAAAACTTCCGAAAAACAAAAGGACGAGGAAATAGATAGACCTGAGCGCACTCGCAACTGGTTTTTATTGGTGAAATATAATCATTTATATGTATATATTTGAACTAACAGAGAACCTCTGCTAAGCTCCGTGTAACCTCCGCAATAACAAGGAATACTCACTCACCGATAAAAAAAAAAAAATTGACCTATCGCTCATGCATTTTTTGCCCTTTGCCTGGATTTCAAAGACCTCATCCAGCTTTTTAGAAACATTATACCGGTATCTGTAGACCGACACGCTGTTTACAAACAATCCCGCGTTTGCTCACACCAGGTGTGGGCACCGTGCGTGCGTAGAAAACGAATTCGCGTGAAGGGAAGCGTCTACGCATGCGCCATGCCGTCGACAGCGCCACCGCACACTCTAGGAAAAAAAATGGAGGAGAAAGGTAGCAACGGCGCAATCTTCCTCCCTTCTACTGACGCGCCTCCAAGCGGGCACGAGAAACAGGGAGGAACGAGACGTTTTCCTCGTTCTCCAAGCAGACGGGAGAAAGCTTTCACCCTCCCGACTCATCTTCTTTCGGTTTCGTTTTTCGAGCACGTCGCGCACGTTGTTTAGTAAATGTTATTGAGTTGATCGAACTTCAGCGGCAGCAAAGGCCGCCTGTAATTCCGTCTTCTAGTCCAAACGTGCAGAACATTCCGGTTGCATTGACGTTTTTACCACTAATGTTATCCAACGAGTAAACGAAGCCTCTAGAAACAGCGAAGTTCCGGAGCAGTGCCAGCAGCGCTACGTACACAGGGTAAGATGGCCGTCTCTGGATTGCGGGAGCGGGACGCACGCGGAGCTACAGTAGCGAAACCACGCGGAACTGTGCCGACGTTTTCGACGTTTTGTAAATCGTAGGAACTGCGTCCAAGGCAGGCAGGTTTTCTTGCCGGCTGCCTAGGTACCTTCCGCGCTGAGTTCGGTTCTGTTTTCTCGTGCCGAGTGCCAACCGGCGTTCAACGTGGTTCTGTATTTCTGCGTGTCAGCAACATCGTGATGGCAGTGTTGTGCGTAGTGAACAGAAGACTGGAATTATTGCCGATGTGACCGTGTGTTCGCGTATCAGTGGTGTAACAACAAGATGAGATGACGTAAACTGTCGGGCATTGATGCCGCTGGTCGGGCCGTGATCGGAGGTGGCGGGGTGACGCAGGATGACATTCCGCTTTACATTAAAGAGTTTAAGATCCCTTGAGGGATTAGGGGCAGTCGATCGACGTGTGGATAGTCATGTTGGAACGCTGCTCTGAACGGTAAGCTCCTATCGTACAGTGGCCAATGTGACTCTGGGTCCCCGGGAGCGATTGCGCTTTGGAGAAAAGAGTGAACAGTACAAAAGTATGACAGAAAGTACGTATATTTACACTGAAAGTTTAGCATTAAAAAAAAACCGCTATCCTTTATTTTACTGTTTAAATTCCTGGAGAAACTGCCCTCCAAGTGGTGCGCACGGATGAGCGCTAGAAGTTTTCGAGCTCGCCACGGCGTAACTCTGTACACTTAATACCTGCCGCAAGTAGCGACTTTCACTGCATTCAAGTTGATCGAAAGCGATTTCTCTGCCCGTGAAGTATCACTTCCAGGTGAGTGAATATCTGCTCTACAAAGATTAATTAAAGACGGCAATTGCAGCCGTGCGCGAACAGCACAAATAGAAAAACAATCGCTACAATAGAAAATACTGACTACGAAGTGCGGTGCGGGGAAACAAACTCTGGCTTGGAACCACATTGGAGTGGCTCGACGTATTGGCTTTCAAATTATTACTGCATGATCGAGCGTTATTTTTTTAATAAGAGATTCATCCCCTGAGCCATTAAAAATACTCTCAGATGTATAACAGTGCTGGAAATGAATCAACATGCTGGGAATATTTTTTATTGCTTAGGGAGTCACCGAAAAATTCCGTACGTTCAAAACGACCACTATAAAAGACGGAAAAGCAGAGCTCGGGAGTAGTGATCGGGTTAGTGTGCTGTTGAATTGATGCATGTATGTACGATGCATGTGAATGCGCTCTATGTAAGTTCATCTGATGTTTGTAGTATGCGTAATATGTCTATATGTGTGTATAATAGAGGTCCCCGAAGATAATACCACGCAATGCTAACGTAAAAAATATATTTTTTTTTGTAGAACATGAATTGGGCGGTACCAAGCGCCACCTAGCCTAGCTACGTGCGATTACTCTGCTTGACCCTGCCATCTGGTGGCATGCGATTTAACATCCTTTTACGCTACGCGGCTACGCCATAATCTCGTGTTACCGTGCTGAGATAAGCCAAGAGGTTGGTTCGGACTTGTTTTTTAGAGCGCAGCTCTTAGGCCCCCGTTTCCGGATTGAGCGGCATCGGCGTCGTCGTCGCCGTCGGCGTAACCGCGCGGTGCATTATGGGTAAATTTGCCCCCTACATCTAGCAGAAAAATTTCCCCGCTAAATCCAGCAGAAAAATTTCCCCGCTAAATTTAGTGGAAAAATTTCCCCGCCAAATTTAGCGGAAAATTTTCCCGCTAAATCTAGCGGAAAAATTTCCCCGCTAAATCTGGCGGAATATTTCCCCGCTAAATCTAGCGGAAAAATTTCCCCGCTAAATCTAGCCCAAAAATTTTCTCGCTAAATCTAGCGGAATATTTTCCCCCCTAAATCTAGTGGAAAAATTTCCCCTCTAAATCTAGCTGAAAAATTTCCCCGCTAAATCTAGCGGAAACGTTTTCCCGCTAAATCTAGCTGAATAATTTCCCCGCTAAATCTAGCGGGAAAATTTCCCCGCTAAATCTAGCGGAATAATTTCCCCGCTAAATCTAGTGGAAAAATTTCCCCGCTAAATCTAGCGGAATAATTTCCCGGTAAAATTTCCCCGCTAAATCTAGCTGAATAATTTCCCTGCTAAATCCAGCGGAAAAATTTCCCCGCTAAATCCAGCGGAAAAATTTCCCCGCTAAATCTAGGGAAAATATTTCCCCACTACATCTAGCGGAAAAATTTTCCCGCTAAATCTAGCGGGAAAATTTATCTTCAGGTCAGGTGACCCCCCGAGGTCACGTGACCCCTGTGGCCACGTGACTACCCCAGGTCACGTGACCCCCACGTGACCTTGGCGAGGGGGTCATGTGACCCCTCCAAGGTCACGTGACCACCCCTCCCCCCCGATAACACGTGAACCACAGTACCCTTCCCTCCTCCTCCTCAAGAGCTGCGCTCTAATTCGGCGTTACAGGGAGTTGTAAACGGCTTTCATTCTTTTTTTGAGAGCGGCTTTTGGTTTTGCGGGCGAGTGGTTTACCACTACTCCGTGATGTGCGGTTGACGCAACGGTTGACAAAGGAATTGTGGCTCGAGGAACAGCAAAGTTAAGACATAAAGTGCGCGAACTGCATGCCGGTTGCCTCCGTTTGAAATCGCACTGCCGACGATGAGAAGACTGAGTGACTGCATGCTTTCGAAACGTAAGTTTCTTTACCTGCAGGGGGAAGCCGGCTTCGGAAATAAATACAGTTCGCGGAAAGCTCGTGTTACGTTTTTATTTGCTGCTCCTCTCGCTCCGTACAATACACTTAGTGTTCTCGTTAAGCCTTATTGAGCTCGATTTGCTCGAGTCGTGGCCGCCATAATGAGATTCAGGCGACGGAGGAACTTTTGCTCCCCTGCTTTAGGGACGAAAGTTGCTCCCTTTCCGAAGGAACATATGTGTCAAGAGCGTTCCTCCGTTTAGGGAGGACTATACTGACCCTTTTTCCTAAGAGTGCAGCTGCGTGACGTCAGGGCCGCGTGTCGGTCTATAGACCTTTCCAGCGGTAGTCGCGAACGAAGCGAGCGGGCAAAAAATGCTGAGTCATTGAGCTGTGGACGCACGCGCAGCGTCCGACATACCGCACAGCGGATCAAGAGCGCATGCTTGGAAGGCGTTCCACAGCCCAGCAGACAAAGATGGCAGCGCGCAGGAGGCGATTTCTGCAAAAGTCTATACTCGCGGTCAGCTTTCTGTGGCAATGCAGTCACTGCTAGGGGAGAGGGTTCACCAACCACTCTACCCGCACTTTCCTCGTCTCTTCGGATTGCTAAAGAAACCTGACCGCGAGTACAGAAATCTGGTGTCGCCAAATGACGGAGCACATGTGCAACAAGTGCAGGGATTGGCAAGATGTCGCGATGGACTGACTTTCGTCGTCGCGGCGTGTTCACATGCACGATCATTGAAGCACCTTCCCGTCTGCCCGATATAAGACGAGCCGCATGGTGTTGCAATTTCGAAGACAACACCCGTAGTACACTCCGTGTATTTGGTGCAGTGTCTGGTATCAGACGGATCTTTCGATACAATGCGATTGTTTATCCTACGGCGCAGCCACGCGAGCTTATTTGGAGTAGTAAACACCAGAGTCACCTGGTCGCCCGAGGTAACTTTCTTAAGATTATGTGCTACTGTGCGCATATACATGACTAACATCTCCCGCATCGTATTCCTGTCGCTGGGCTGCCTCTGTAATCTTTTAATCGTAATAACCAAGCTCTCAGCCAGCTCGACCAGAGTGCCCTGAGGGAACCCCGCTCTCTTAAGCCTGCAACCTGTTTATCGAAACTTTTTTGTGCACTATGCCTGCAGAATTACTTAAGGGCCGCCTTTGACACATAAACTCCATGCTTCTTTTCACAAATTTGGAATGAGCAGAGCTATACGGAAAGTGGCCCTTTTTGACCTTGGCTAGTACGTCCAGCAAATGTGGTCCTTCTGGAGACTTAACCGAAGATCCAGGAACTGCAACTGTCCCTACCTTGGCTCCACATGAGTAAAGTGTACCCCACTGCCACATGCCCTAAACACCTCCAACATTTCCGTCGCTTTACATTCTAGTGCGTCAGCCTGATTATTCAGAGTAAGGAAATCATCCACAAATCTGAATATTTTGAACCTGTTAGAGACCCGTAGTTTCTTTGCGATGGCTTTTCCGCACGCACTGAGAGAAACGTTGCACAACACAGGTGCCATACAAGAGCCACTACAAATGCCCTTTTTTCCCAAAGATATCCCCATAAAAATGTGAGCTTCAAGTAATATGTGAGAAGCTAAAAAAATGGTCAGCGGTAATCCCACAGGAACTCTTGAACGGAAGATTATCGTTCTTTGTCATTGCACTCTCTCATAGACAGAAACAGGGGGTCGTGAGCAACTGAATAGAAAAGGTCTTCGACGTCGACAGAGAAATCCCTTCGCATTCCCCTGTGGACCCCCTCTCAACAATTGAATTATGTAATCAGAATTTTGCACCACAAACGGGTCGTGAAAATTGAGGGCCGTCAAATGTTTACACGTCAAGAAGGCAACGTGATACAGCCATGAATTCTCCTCGGTAACATTAACCCTGAAGGAAACCCCCGCTTTATGAGTTTTTGCCGTAAAGAACATGTCCAGTTTCAGTTTCTTGCTGGAAAGTCAAATACAGTTGCAGTTCCTCGACCTTCGCTAAGCCTCCAGAAGGACCACATTTGTTGGACGTACCCGCCAAGGTAAAAAAGGCCATTCCCGTGTATAGCTCTGCTTATTTCAAAGTTGTGAAGAGAAGCATTGTGTCGGTGTGTCTAGGAGCGGTCCTTAAAACATCCTGCAAGCATAGTGCACAAGCAAGTCTCGATACACAGGTTGCGAGGCTTAAGAGAGCGGATTTCCCCCAGGGCACTATGCTCGAGGTGGCAGAGAGCCTGGTAAAGAAAATAAAGGATTACAGAGGCAGCCCTCCGACAGGAATATGACGAGGCCGGTGTTAATCACGTATATGCACACAATCACGCATAATCTTAAGAAAGTTGCCTCGCGCTTCGATGTGCCTGTGTTGTTTACTCCTGCCAATTAGCTGGCGTGGCGGCGCCGTAGGATCAACAATCTCATTGTATCGAAAGATCCCTGTAATACCAGGCACCGCACAAAATACACGGAGTGTACTACGGGTGTTGTCTACGAAATTCCAGCATCACGTAGCTCGTCTTTTATTGGCAAGACGGGAAGGTGCTTCTGTGATCGTGCACATGAGCACACCGTGGTGACAAAAGCCACTCCATCGGGACCTCTTGCAAATCACTGCACTCACTGCCCATGTGCCCCGTCATTTAACGACACCAGATTTCTGGCTAGATACACGGATAGGGTTTCTAGAGAGCTGAATGGGGTCTTCGGAATCCAGTCAGAGGGCAAAAAAATGCATAAGCGATAAGTCCATTTCCTTATCGGTAAATGACTATTTCTTCTTGTTGCGGAGGTTACACAGAACTTAGGAGAGATTATGTGTTAGTTCAAATATGTATATAGGATTTGTTTTCACAAATAAAAAAAAAACTGTTGCGAGTGCGCTCTCGTTTGTTTACTTCCTTGTCTTTGTGTGTTTTTGGCGCTTTTTTATGTGATCATGGACGAACTTGCCCAAATTGCTACCTAAATGCTTTATGCCAGCGTTGGCGATAACAAGTTAGTAGTCATGGTGCAACCGGTAACCGTAACTCTTTTCGGTAAGGTTGTAGCGTACTTGTTGCATTCCTGAAACAGTTACGCGTAAAGTACTTTCCTTACTTATTTCGCCGTAATGTGGTACGTAATTACATTACTTCTATATTTTTTTGAAAAACTAAAAAATGTAATTTAAATTTTTTTTTTGCGTTTTTATGCGTTAATTCCTATAGAGTTTTGAGTTCCCAGCGCTTACGACTTATGCATACCTGTAACGTCCAATGAGTAAAACGTTTAATTCGCAATTAGAAAAGTAACGCAAGAGTAACGTCCGTTACTTTTTAACGGTAACGGTAAATCGTTACATTTATTTTAAGATAAGTTTGGGCGGTAACGCGTTTTTGTTTTATTTGGAAGTAAAAAGTAACGTATTTCGTTACTTTTTTTTCGGGTAACGCCCACAAGATTGCTATTGACAAATGTTAGTCGTACCAACAGATCTTTTTGTCAACTTTATTAACTGCTTTGATTCCTCCAATTACAACGTAATATCTAGTCGCACTTTCTTCGAGGTTATTTTCTACGAAACTCTCTCGCATATGTTGAGTCGACGAAGAATAAATGTAAAGACATTTAAAGAATTCAGTGACCTGAAAGTCCTGAAGCCTTCGCACATTTGTACTCACCCTGCAGGTGCTGCCATGGATATGACCTCCACAGAATATTTGTGAAATTACTGTTACTCCTCTAGCTCTGCAATCACTGTTTGATAAGTACTGCACCCTAGTCTGTTTCAGTACTGGTGAACCTCGGCTGCCTGATGGAAAACAAAAAGGAAGAAATGCACGTTGAAATGTATAGAAATACAAATCACTACAAGTGATATACCGCGTAGAAAAGATTGACTGCCTTATCCTGAAAAGGTACCTGTGGCTCTGTTGGTTCGTTCAGCTTGTCTCATTTTGTTCTCTATTAAATATATGTACGTCGCCTACATAAAGTTCCCAAATGCAGAGAATTAGTATTACCTAATGGATGAAAATCTTTAAAAGTGTTTTTTAGGTCAATGCTCCAGCTTGGGCGAGTTGTTTAATCATGTTTATATTTCACAGCGCACAAAAGACAGCACACCATCAAGTCAGATCCACCCAAAGAAAGAACCCAGCGCTGATTGTCAACTCTGCGATATCTTAAACATCATCTTCGTTATCTCTTACTCTGACGCACTAAAAAGGAGAAGAAAATAAAAATTAACCCAAAAGAACAGAGCAGGAAAAAAGAAATTGATAAATAAAAGGAAATGGAGAGAATATAACTAAGAAAAAAGGGTCAAGAAAAAAAAAGAAAAAGAAAAAATGAAAGAGAATAAGATCAAGTCCTACTACGGTAAAAGTTACTAAGGACGTTTTCCTTAATAATCTAACTTTTTTTTTGATAAGGTAATTGACGGGATACTAACACATAATCCATCTAGCAGGTCTATTCTAGCGGCTTCGATAGTTTCTCTAGTTAGTTTGTTCTTGCTTCGTCCCAGTATTGTGCAATTGTCTAGAAGGGGGAGCATCCAAAATCTCTTGGTGAATGCCCAGATGACCTGAGTTAGCGTTAATGGCGTTGTTGTTATGTTCTCGAAGCCTATTGTTAAGACAGCTACCCGTCTCCCCGACGTAATGCTTCCCACAGGCAAGAGGGGAAAGAATATATCACTCCTTCACAGGAAATGAACTTGGTCTTGTGGTTTTTGTTGCAGCGCCCTGGTGGAATAGATGGCCCATTCATCCGCTTGCATAGGCTGGAAGGTTTTTGCGGAGCAAAGAAAACAACGTCGATGTTTAGTCTACTTGCTAGTTTTTAAAGCTTGTGGGACAAATTGTGAATATAAGGCACTATGACAGGCCTTATAGTGAGTTTTCTTGGTTTGTGATTTGTAGCCTATGCTTGGTTGACCTCCTAAGTAGGCCTTCAGAGACTGAAACTAATAATTACGAAGGGTATCCTGCTAAAACCAATTGTGTGATTTGCGTTTGAAGCTCATATAGGTCATGTGCACGCAGGATTTCTTGAGAGAGTTTGTTATCAAAGTTTAGCAATGCCTCGTTTAACATGTTTTGAGTGTACGGAACTATGATTAAGTAGTGGCTTTTTTGCCCTCGGTTTATGAGACCAGCAGATGCGACGGCTTTTAAGAAACAATCGAAGGTCTAAGAATCGTATTGAATACTTGACCGGAAGCTCGTGGGTAAGTTTCAACGGATCAAGGCATTTTTGGAAGGTGGAAAGAATATCGGCCATCAAGCTGGGGAAGGTACTGTCCAAAAGAGCCATCTAGTCATCCACGTACCGCAAGACACACACTATTTCTTAACTGTTAAGGTTTTGCTGTAAGATTCTGTTGTGGGAGGCCAGAAACAGGTCACTGAGCACAGGGGCTGCACAGGAACCCATACATATTCGTGTTTTTTTGTAAATATGTTAAGCCATTCCAAATGGCAAACACAGAATGTTGACTCCTTTTTTGTCATAACCTTTCAAAATGCAGCAGGGTTGTCCATCAAGGGTTTTCTGAACCTAATATTCACCTACTTGCATTCTACGCTTGCCACCTGGAATGGCTTAACATATTAAAAAAAAACAGGAATATGCATAGGTTCCTGATAGCTTCTGTGCTCAGTGACATCTTTCTGGCCTTCCACAACAGAATGTTACAGCAAAACCTTGACAGTTCAAAAATAGTGCGTGTGTTTCGGTACCTTGATGACTACTTGGTTTTTCTTGACAGCAAAGATAGCACCTTCGCCACCTTGGTGGCCGATGTTCTTTTTACCAACCAAAAATGCCTTGATTCGTTAAAACTTACCCACGAACTTCCGGTCGAGTAGTCAATACGATTCTTAGACCTTCGATTGTTTCTTAAAAGTCGTCACATCTGCTGGTCTTATGAAACTAGGGAAAAGAAGCCACTACTTAATCATAGTTCCGCACACTCAAAACTTGTCAAACGAGGCATTGCTAAACTTTGCCTAAAAAAACTCTCTCAAGAAATCCGGCGTGCACATGACCGATATGAGCTTCAAAACGCAAATAACCCGATTGGTGTCAGCAGGAGAACCTTTGTCGTTACTAGTTTCAGTCTCTGAATGCCTAGTTAAGGAGGTCAACCAAGCAGAAGATGTACTAACCACAGAACAAGAGAATGCAATATAAGGCCTGTCATGGTGCTTTATCTTCACAACCTGTTTCACAAGCTTAAAAAGGTAGCAAGTAGAGTCAACGTTGACGTTGTTTTCTTTGATCCGCAAAAGCTTTCCAGCGTATGCAAGCGAATGAATGCTCCATCTATTCTACCAGAGTGCTGCAACAATAACCACAAGACCGAGTTCGTTTCCTGTGCAGAAGGTGTGATATATTCTTTCCCTATTACCTGTGGGAAGTGTTACGCCAGGCAGACGGGTCGCTGTCTTAACGATAGGCTTCGAGAACATAACAACAAACGCCATTAACGCTAACTCAGGTCATCTGGGCAACTAAGTAAGAATTTATCGAAGCCGCTACCATAGACCTGCAAGATGGATTATGTGTTAGTACCCAGTCGATTACCTTGACCAAAAAAGACTTTGATTGTTTAGGAAAACCTCCTTAGTAACTTTTACGATAGTCGGACTTGATCTTATTCTCTTTCTCATCTTTCTTCTTTTTGTTTTGTATTTTTATTTTCTTGACTCGTTTTTCTTCCTAATCTTCTCTCCTTTTCCTTTTTTTTATCTTGCCTTCTCTGATCTTCCTAGGTAAATTCTTATTTTTTTCTTCTTTTATTGCGTAAGAGAAAAAGGTAACGAAGATGATGCTCAATATATCCCGGAGTTGACAGTCAGCGCTGCGGGAGTGTTGTTTGTTTGAGTGGATCGATTTTGATGGTGTGCCGTCTTTTTTGTGCTCTGAAGTATGATCATGTTTTTAATGGTTTGTGTTCGATGTTGCGATTAGCATTTCTCAAACCTGACTTATTTTATTACAGCGAAAATTGACATTTCTGCTCTGAGTGCGCTACAATCTTCTGTTGCTGTAATAATGGTTGAAATAAAATAAAAATCGCTGCATCTTCATAATCTAATAAGATACACATAAGGGGCACGTGAGAAATTGGAGTATACTTAAACGTTCGCTATTGAGAACAGTTGCAGTCACAAAATATAAACACACACACACACACACGCGATCTCACCTGCGCATAAATAAGATTCAATGCAAAATATCTGTTTCTGATGCTGTTTATTACGAGAATCGTGCCACTTGAATAAAAACGTATTAAAAAGAGGGATGTCGTTCACTGTGGAAACACTTAATCGCGATTTTCGTTTCTTAAATGTCCAGTTCCTATCATATCTTTAGGGGCTAGAAAGAAAGCTTCAATTATACCAAATCTTGGATTAATAAGCCACACGTTACATATTCAGAACAGTTGTTATTAAACATAATAAACTATAACCCCGAGACTAGCGAGAAAGACAACGATGAAAGAGAACAAGAACAAGAGTCTCAAACACAGCCACACCTTGAACACAGCTCAGCTCTGTTTGAGACTTCTCTTCTTTCTCTCCTTCATCGTCGTCTTTCCCTCTAATCTTAGGGTTATTGATTATCATGTTTATCAACATCAACTCGTATTGCCCCCTAAAATACTTTTCTTCAGTTGTTATTATTTTTTTCTGTCCAATGTAATGCAAATCACAAAAATCAAGAAGAGATCAAATCAAAAATCAACGATATAAAAAAAAGTGCAGGAATCCCTTTACGTCATTTAGAAACCACGAAATTTTAACTACGCGTAATATACTCAATTAAAGAAGTCCTAGTGCACTTTTCCGCTGGACGGAGAAACAGCCAGTCACGAAAAAAAAAAATAGAATGATCTTAGCGAATGATAAACTCAAAAAAGTAAATACAACTGGATTAAAAAAAAAGGAAAATACGAAGTTTAAATATTTCTTTTGAAACATCGTGTTCATTGATACTGCGCAGCATTTTTGGTGTCTAATCGTACTCTGAGTTTCGTCTTTGCTGGAAACCTTCTACTATTCGCCATGATGGCTGCCTATCTGTTCTACGGGAACGTAAACTCACAGACGGTTCTTAGAGTGCATAGCCTAAAACGTGCCCGTACACCTTCTATCACGCAAAATAATTGAAAGTCGATCTTTGTGATTCACTGTCAGGGTTCAACCTGACAGTGAAGTCTGCCATAAAAGACCTAGCGTGACGTGAGCTCGTGAAACACCGCCATATCGGTTTCCCATGGAAACCGATATGGCGGTGTTTTACGTATTTAGCCATATTTTTTCTTATATAGCGTTTTTGTGTCACTTGATGATTTCCCTGTCCATTTGTACTGTATTTAAAATAATTAAGCGATAAATATTTATCTCAGCTTGAACACGACCACAAAGCAGAAATTGGTCTTCTGAGAAAATCGGAACAGTGAGCTTTTTTGCGCCATATACTTTGATCGTCAATTACGTAACGTTCGACTGCAAGTAAATACGAATGAAAAAGACAAAGAGAAAAAAGGGATCTCTTATTGTAAAAAAAATCTGAACGCAAAATAAGAAAGAAAGCTTTTTCAAAAACTAAAAATGCCAAGCTGCTTTAGTTCTATTATGGCGGTGTTCACTCCATAAAAAGGTGTTCATTAAACGGTAGTTTATATTAACAGTAATTTATTATTTTTAATTGTTTTCACTGGTCTGACGGATTGAGCAGTCAGTCGTGTTCAAATATACATCCAGTGATTCCGAAGCACAATTTAATACCTATAGTGATATAAATCAATGTTATTTATATCAAATAATGTTGATTTCTGTTAAATACATTTGGTTTAAATAAAATATATCTGATTTACCGGACTTTTGAAAAGAAATAACAACTTTTTGAGATGGCTTTGACGATCATGAATATTACCAAAAGCGTCTTGATGTGCCCTTCAGTCATGTCCTCACTATGCAGGGCCTCTATAGCATAGAGACCCTATATATACATTGCATGTTAAGGTTTTTAAACTGTAAAAAAGGCAATTAAAAAAAGGAACCCGTGATCTCCAGTTTTTATAAGCACAGTGATTAGCTCTCGAAGGGCTCTGTAAATGGAAGGGGAGGAAGGGGGGGGGGGGGTGGCAGGAGCAGACGTACGGGCATTTCTTAGGGTGTCTGTTTTCAAATGAAAGTGTCGAGATATTCTTGAGTAGTCTTACGTTCTGTCTCTCCCCAACCAAGAACGAACACCTTCGATGTATTGGACAGTTCTTCGTGGTTTTCGGGCAAGCACACTGGCTGTATGGTCGTCGTCGTGTTCACCTTGCTCTTCAACTTGATGATTGCGATGTCCTGCCCTAAACCCTGCGAAAATAAGGCGGTCTGTTGGGGTCATGTCTACACTACATGCGTCACGGCGCGAATCAAGGCTGGTGCTTGCTACGGCATGCTATTGCCTGAAAGTGCTGGACGGATTTGACTTCCAAAATCTAAAGTAATCAATTACATCTCCCGTGACTTGCATTCAAAGTGACGTCGCTCACAGGTTGCCGTGTTCGATACAGACTTTTCTTCTAGGCCAAACAAATCGTTGCCCCCTACATGACCCAAACGTTTCCCCATGCTCATACTGTATTGCAAATGGTGGAACCAGTTCAGAAATCTCAGCATTGTTTTAAGCTCACTCTCAGAACTAGACATAAAGGGATTGTCTGCCCACAATCACGGTATTGCCAGTATTAAAAAAAATGTACACCTTCCAATAGTAATTTAAATAAAACAATCAGAAATTAGTGACGAAATGACAATACAAATAAATCGAGGTTCCCGACTAATCGAGTGAAAATCTTGGGGCTGTCCGTTTTATCTAAATTTTTATCTAATGACTCACAGGCTTCTTCGGTTATCTGCACGGCTGGTCAGATAGAAAATATAATTGGCCATTGTAGCTGACGGGCGCCGATTCACATTGCCGCCCATGATGTGACCCTATGCTGAGCGCAAGTTTGTCTGCCTTTTGCGCATGGGTTCCGGCGACGTCTAAACGCAGAGTTCAGATTTGCTCTGATTGAAATGATATTGGGCAGACTTCAGTGCCAGCTGTCTCGAGGTCTACCCACTATCCTTCCAATCAAAGCCAACCAGAGCTTGTCGTTCTGACGTCACCGCAATCCCTGCGCAAGAGGCAGACGAACTTAAGCTCCGTACAGTCAGATACAGCTGAAGACACGCAGGGCGTTCCGAATCCCGAGCACGGCAATATTGCTGCGATGCTAATAGAGAGTTTTGGGGAACAGTTTTTGCATATCGAATACTGTACGATGGGCCCTCCGGTACGAACTGGGCATGTGCCACGGCAGAGGGCTCACACATTCGCAGTTCCTACTGGAGGGCCAATCGTACAGTATCAGACGTGCAAAAATGGTTCCCTAAGACTGTAATTATTCTAGCTGCATTCGCCGATAAGACCGCACAAAATGCCCAAACATTGTTTCGCTACGCACGTCGTTTTTAGAGCGCAGCTCTTAGGGGCCCGTTCCCGGCTTGAGCGGCGTCGCCGTCGGCGTCGGCGTAACCAAGGTCATCCCAAGGTCACGTGACATTGGGGTCACGTGACCCCTCCCAAGGTCATCTCAAGGTCACGTGACCCCACGTGACCCCCTGAAGGTCACGTGACCCCCAAGGTCGCGTGACCTTGGGGGTCACGTGGGGTCATCTTGGGATCACGTGACCCCCAAGGTCACGTGACCCTCGAGGTCACGTGACCATTCCCAAGGTCATCTCAAGGTCACGTGACCCAAGATGACCCCCACGTGACCTCAGGGGGTCACGTGACCTGGGGGTCACGTGGGGACCTTGGGGTCACGTGACCTTGAGACGACCTTGGGGGCACGTGACCTCGGCGGTCACGTGACCTTGGGGAGGAGACCACGTGACCTCAGGGGTCACGTGACCTCAGAGGGGTCACGTGACGGGGGTCACGTGACCTCCAAAGGGTCACGTGGCCCCTCCCCAAGGTCACCTTGGGGTCACGTGACCTTGAGGTGACCCCCCATGTGACACCCAGGGTCACGTGACCCCCAGGTCACGCCTCCCCGAGGTCACGTGACCCCCCTCCCCGAAGTCACGTGACACCCCCCCCCCCCCCCCCCCCCCGAGGTCACATGACCCCCCCCCCCCCCCGGAGCATATTAAAGAATGAGGGGAAGAGGAGGAGAAGGAGGAGGGGTCTACCCTCCCCTCAGTACCCTTCACTCCTCCTCCTCAAGAGCTGCGCTCCAATTCGGCGTTACAGGGATTTGTAAACGGCTTTCACTTTTTTGTTTTGTTTTTTACTTGCAATAAGTGTACAATATCTGAGAGCGTTATTATTCACTTTACATTGATGGTTCAGCTGGAAACTATAACGTTTGTCGTTTGTGGCTGTTAAGAAAATGCCAACAATTCGTTGTCACCAGTTGTGCGCGGAAAAATAAATATGTTTACCTTTCGACAAGAGGCTAAATCAACGGCTGCGTGATTAAACTTTATACGTCTCGCGTATTTATAGTTTATCGTAGGATCAAACATTGGAAGAGAGACTCTGCCTACATGAAAACAAAAATCGAGGTGTATTTAGGCTATCACGGAACGTGTGCTGCAGCGACGGCTGTTATCTCGTGGCATAATGTCTGAGAAAATGTTCGCCCATACGGTGTGCAAGTCAGGTCTGTGCGCACCTGGCGCCCTTGTTTATCCGTAGAATGCGTTCTCTCGCTTTTGTTTCGCCTCCGACCTTAAAAGCGAGCAGGGGAGGTGGAGGGGATTTGCCAGTCTCGAATGTTGAGGCGGATGAGCCTTCACGAATGGACGCCGACTACAGCAGCGGCGGCGTCTGGCGTGGCTTGAAATTTTCATGTGTGGGAGCTCGAAGCTATCACGTGATTGACAATGTAGCTGACGACGTCACCGGTAGTTTTGACCTTGGACGACCACGCATTTTCCCGGGGAGGTTCCCACTAACAGCCGGTGCTCAAAACAAACGCTTTCATTAATCTCCAGGTATACGACTCGAATTTTTTTTATTAGGCGGAGCTATATTTTCGTAAGTGCGAAACTTGAAAAAAAAAAATACGAGGCATCGACGGATGCTCATCTCTGGTTGTAATCTTCGACCAAGAGTGCGTTTTATATGAGTGACAAAATGACGCCCTTACGGCGCGGATCCTCAATTGCTGTTGTAATGGTACAAGCGACTTTAGTCAGAAAAGGGTTTTATAGAATGGCGTACATTGCAAGATATCTGACACGTCTACTTTGGCGCAACGCACTTGAGAAAGCCAGTCGCTGTTATTTACGCAAAACGTTAGGGAATTAGGAAATTCAAAATACGCTAACGTCTAAAAAAGCTGCATGAGGATCCATTGGTGTATACTTTGGGAATGCGTTAGGGTAACGATATGAATCACTACACACGTTCCCCTTTCTGAAACGCTAACGCAGAACACTTCAATTTTCTCTTTTGGCTTTATCTTTTGCGTCCTCTCTATTTTTGTTGGCTGTTTTGGTTTCGTTATGGGGTCAGGGCTAGCGTTTTGCAAGGGTCTTTCTAATTAATTCCCTAAAAGTTAATAATGGATCTTCCGGTGATTTGTTCACCCCCCCCCCCCCCCCCAAACACACACACACTTTCTGTGCTTTGCCTCTTAGAGTACGTCGACGCCCTTCGATAAGGTCATCCATATCTCTCGTGGAAAGACACATCTACACCACTCGTGGAGGGAACCGCATTCATCGTTTTAACTGCGCACACTGATCACAAGCCACGCACCGCTACTACGGAAACCCAGAGAGAAGAACAACCGGCGACGGCTGTGTGGTAACTGAGCACGCCCCGCATTCCAACGCGCAGTAGAAACACCTCTTAGGTAACAAAGCCCTGGTGCTGAAGGAGATGGCGTTATCAGAGAAGGCCAACGCTGGGCAGCGATGTGACACGACGGTTGCGTCAACGTTCCGCTTAGACTTGATTGGAAGCCGAGCGCTGACGCATTCCTCGTGTCCACGTCTTCGTCGAGCGTTCGCTTTCTCTGATGACGCCGTCTCATTCAGCAATACGGTTTTGTTTTTTAGAAGATGTTGCGCGGCGCGGCCTCCTCTCTGGCTTATAGCCAACTGCGCGCGTGACTCACGAAAACGAAAGCGCTCGTTTTGAAAAAGGTTCGGCAGTGTCTGTCAGTTCGCCAGAGCAGAAGAGAGGGCGAGGTTAACTCGTGCCGACGTCAGCGCTTCGGGGCAACGGGAGCGTCCCACGAACCGCCCTCTGCCATCTTCTCCCCCTCTGCCCGGCGCTGAGGAACGCAAGATACCGCCGGGTTTCCGCCAGAAAGAGCGTTTTAATCCTAGCGCCTTGAAAACCATTCTTCGCTTTGGCAATGAGTATGACCCTCCACGGCGATGCCCCTGCAGGCAAGCCTACCTCCCTCCTGCAATACAGGGACATTACCCTACACTACCGCCTCCTCCGCCGCCAATACCGACCCCCGCACCCCCACCTCTCCCAAGAGGCAGCACACATGCTGCACCTCTTACAAACACACTTTCCCCCACCGAACACAACTAATACACACTCACCCACACCTCTTTACCACCCCCGCCTGTCCTGCCTGCGGGGCACTCGACACTCACTGCCATTCCCTTTGCGAATGCCCCGCAGACCCATACCCCCCTCTTCCCTCCCCTCACCTCTGGGAGCAGATGTTGCGCGACCCGGAGGAGTCAGCCCAAGTCCTGACCACCTCCCGGGCCCTGGCGATCGCGGCGGCCCTCTGGGCCTCCACCACCCCCAATACCTGATCCCCGAAGAATAATGAAGTTTGCCCCTCCTCCTCCTCCTGACCCTTCACTATGCTCAGTGCCGCAGCGCAGTGTTTTTTTTTTTTTTTTTTAGTTCTGAATGTAAATTTAACCTCTTTTAGTTCTGAATGTAGATTGAGCCTCGTCATTAGCTGAGCTGCTCCCTAGATAGCGGGCAGTTGTTCTCTCGCGTATATAGTGGAAAAATATGCACTCCATATTTTCTACTCTGAGAAATGAATAGCATCTATCAAAGCAGCGCTCTAACAGTGTTTTGAGAGAAGCACTCGTGTTTGTTTTGTAATCGAAAGGACCGCCATTTTGTTTTGTTACCGCTGGGAGGCTGGCACGAGAAGCAGGATGGATGCAAATTTCATGGACGTCGACAACAAGCTCCCCTGGTTCTCGTCTTAGGCGCCGGTGTGAACCGAGGTGAATCTTCAAGCTTGCCGGCCGTGTTCCCCTAATTAAAAAAAGAAAGCCGATGCGAACAGATATAGGGCTTTTACAATGAATCCTAGCACTGCAAAACGAACCCGCAAAATCAACACTTTTACATAGAAAGCTCCAACATGCACCAAAGGGAATTTTAGTGGTGCAATTTTGCTTGCGATATTTTAAGGCGCAATTTTGCTCTTGTGAAAAATAACACTCACAAACTTGAAAGATGCAGCACTGATTTAGCCATCTACATCTATGTGCAAGTGCGGTTTCTTCTTGCTCGATTTACAGGGCTAATATTAATTCTGGAGTCTCTATATATTACTAACTGACGCGCATACCGCAAAATAAAAACAAGAAACTCCACGTGGTGCAAAATGAAAAAAAAAATCACCTCCAGGTGGTGTGAATGTCTGGGCCGGCTTGCTAGAACAGCTTCTCAGCTGAGACTGGTTGAACGAAAGCGATGCAAAGGCGTATCAAGACGCGAGCGTCTTGATACGCGGTTTGAGTCCTGCTCAGCTCGTGCGTTGGCTTTGGCAGTGTTTTCTTTCACCCAGTCTCGGCTGAGACGCCCTTTATAGCAAGCCTGTCGTTATTTGCTTGAGAAAGCTGCTGAGCGAACCTGCAGCCACAACTCTCTATCCTACAGCCGCTTGATGCTGTCGATTTCGCTGAAGTCACCTATAGTCCCTAAGAGGTTAAAAAAAAAAAAGAAGCGTAGGGTCGAGAGAGTTTTGAGCATTTTTTTTTGTCATTCCGTAGGCAATGAGATTTATGAATCAGCTAATAATAACAGCGAAAAAGATATCGTAAAGTAAGGACTGTGGACATAATAAGACACACACCGCGTTTCTTCCCTTCTCGGTGACTCTTCGGAGAGCAAGTTGTCTGCTTCTTGCGCTGGAGTTGTGGTGACGTCAATACGAAGCGGAGCTCTGATTGGCTTTGATTGAAAGAATAGTGGGTAGACCTCAATGTTCGATGCCCTATCCACTAATTTTTTCAATCAGCCAAAAAGAGCTCGGCGTTCTGGCATCACCACAGCCTATGTAAAAGAAGCAGACGAACATGCGGCCGTATAGTTTTAGCACTCTACAATATCCCCTCACCAGACGCAGTGTGCGGCAGTCAGAACGTGCTGATCGCTGATCAGGGAACCGCCGCAAATATGTCCGCGGCCGCGCAGTTGTAACTGCGCTTGCCAAGGCCAGCTTCCCGGCATGGCTACCCTACCGCCATAAATGCGGTCTTCGGGCTCTATGAAAGGTTCGATCGACGGCCTCCCGCATCCGGCTGAAAAATAATGTTTTGTATTAAGATATAAATAGGGCCTAGTTGGAACACAGCTTGGAAGAAAAGCGACGAGTAAACAGGGACCAACAAAGATAAAGAGAGGAGGCGCACTCACAACTGAAGTTTTTATTTTAAACAGCATATTATTACTACCGCCTATGTGAATGCTTGCTTAAAAAAAAAAAGAAAAAAAAACGACTCTTTATTTGTGAATGCTAGTGACAGCGCGCTTCTACACTTGTCCTCCCATTGATGCCTCATACGAAAATGCCTCGTAAATGACTTTATCCGGTTCAGATATTGTTTTTTTTTTTAATTTTGTTTTGCAATCGTCACAGTTTCGTAAATTTAGGACTTCAAATCCTTACAAAGGCATAGCTTTTTTTATTAAAACAAAAGACAAAGATCAAATTTTCGGTCTTTGACTCCAGTTCCAAGTCGAAAACGAACGCATAAAACAATAGTGTGCAATATTAATTTTCGAAGTCTTATTAGTTTCAGAAATTTATGAATTTTTAACGATTACCACGGTATGTAAGGACTTCAGCGGGATTATCACATCTGGGAAAAGTTTTTCCAGATGAAATAAAGGTGATAAATTTGATATTCTCCTAAAATTTGTCCAAAAGAGGAACAAAGAAGAAACAGATCACAGTTTATGTATTGATATGAAGTTATGATTTCTGATTGTTTACTCACACGCACGCGGCTGCCTACGGTAACATTATCAAGATTTTCGTAAATAGTACACCGAGCCACACATGAAATATTGCGAAACTATAGTACAGAGGGTTTATTCTTAACTTCCCTGATTAACTTGAGGTTCGCAAGTACCAACAAAATACACAGAATATGTTTAGCTAAACGTAAAGAACCGTTCGTTTGAAAGCATCATCCTATGCATAAAAAACTGAACACCCTCTAACGCCTCATAACCTGAACAAAGCTTCTGAATAGTATTTTGCCCAAGTTTATGCCCAGCTTTTTAGAGTTAGAAATAAAAAAAGGTTCAGAATACTCACCGGGTTTCCGACTCCAGACAACGTTCAGCAGAAAGGCGAATATCACGAGCTTCATTTTTCGGAGGTATTGAGTCAGCCTTAGCCGTGCCCTTTGATAGCTACAAAAATGAGCCGTTAAATAGCGAGTAGGCCTGTTTTTATTTGTTTTTTTGTCCGTCAGCCGCTATTGTTTTAGCGACATGACCGCCGCAGCTCTGAGACACACCGCCACGCGAGAGGAAGGGGGGGGGGGGGGGGGGAGGTGCAGAAGGCTTTGCCCCTGTTTGCGCCAACAAAAATAAATGCTGACATTTGCTTGACTGGAAACACCGTTCTTTGTCTATCACTCGGTTGGATTGCCACGGCGGGAAGTAAGATTGTTCAGATAATCCAAGCGTCGCCTCTTATATCTGATCTGAACCATGGTCGAAAACGCTGAAAAGACGAACACGAGGAGATAAAACAAACACGGGCGCCTGAGTTTGTCTTTTTTCTAGTGTTGCTATTTTTACCGCTTTTAGCCATGGTTCAAAACGTTTATCACCAACTAGCCCATCAACAAGTACGTTTAAAATTGATACCTGTTTTGTACGTTCAGGACACCAACGCGAAAGTAGCGACGTCGAATGTCAACGATTGAGGATTCCTTCTCTCTTCTTATTGTATCCATTGTGCGTTGCGTTATACTTTTAAAGGGCGTAAAGTTCGTCAGTCCTTATGCAGGTATGGTGTCACCTCTGTCCAGGAGAAATGTTGCTGGTGCACCGGCGACCTCAGCGAAGGCACTTTAAGAAGCGCTGGGCATGGTCTGACATGTTGACACTCCTTCCTCACTTATTTGTTCTTCGGCGTTCTTATTAGCAGACATCGCTATCTCATTGGCCATGGAGCGTTAGCAGGCGCCGATGGTCGCCACAACCTGCGTTCCTTGAGCTGTCAGTGAGTCCACACAAACGTTGACGTCACGCGGCTGCGGTGGCGCTGCTGTCGTCCTGGTAGATACGCGGAATAATCCCTTGACTTGGATCCACTCGCTGCGCACGCGTAGTAATCACACCTACTGTGGGCAAATGCGGAGTTGTTTGGAAACAGCGCATAGGTCTTATGCGGAGTGCAGGTTGGTCTGCTTCCTTTGCCGGGGTCGTGGTGACGACAGAACGCCGGGCTCTGATGGATTTCGATTGAAGGATAGTGGGTAGACTTCAAGGCAGCTTCCTTTGAGGTCTACCCACTATCCTTCAATCGGAACCAATCAGAGTTCGGCCTGGTTCCGACGTCATCTCCTGCTGAAGAAGCAGGCGACTTGCTGTCCGCATAGCTTCGGACTTTAATGTATGGTAGTGCAGTAGTGATACCGCGATCGCACTCCGGTATATTCGATGCTCGCTCAGATCAGCACGGGCCAACGCCACGCCCAATAACTATAGCCTGTGCACTAGAAAGTTGACTTGATCACAGACAAGGCCCATGACGTCATTATTCGTAAATCCCCGACACGCCTCGAGCGAAAAAAACAAGCTGAAGAGGGACGAGAGGGGCCGCAATGCGGTTGACGCGTTTCTTTCTGGCGTCGCCGCACGCTTGCGTCACGCTCGTTTTGAGACGCTACAAGACCCGCTAGGGGGCGGTGCGTGGATTGGCATTGTGATGACGTTTCGGAGGTGATGACGTTTGGGAGGTAATGACGCAGGTCTTGTCTTCCAGGCCGCATGAATTGGACCCAGGATCCTTGGGGTTTTGAGCGCGCGCCTTCGCTCCACGTGCTTTGAGTTGCGGTTCCACGCTATTGGCGCGCAATGTTTCTGGATTCACGCAAGCTTACTGACACTATGTAACGCGAGCATACTCGCCGGCAACGCCACTCACCAAGAGGAGTCTTTGTCACTGTGTAATTTCGAATATAAGTGTGAAACAATTTTTTTTCAGTTCCTTTTTTTGGCAATCCTTATGACGGAACGTGGGTTCCGATGAATGTCAGCCACGGGGGGTTTCAAATGTGGGCCATAGATTGGACAGCAGCACTTTGTAAGCACTCGATTTTGACTCGTAACAATCATGCCTCGACAAACATTCGTGTAGTGGCTAGAGTTCAATCGATACTATAATTAGAATAGCTGAACCCTAACGATGTGTGGAACTCAGCACATTTTAGGGCTCATCGTAGTACGGCCCTTTGTTTTGCCAATGGTAGCGCTGGGTTTTCATGAAGAATGGCGGCATAAATTTATGTCCAAATCACAAGGTCCCTTGTTCTGGCTACGAGTTCTCTATTCTATCCTTCGTCTGCCATTGCGTGGAAGAAAAAAAAAATAACGCGTCTTTCGCAACTTACAATTTGAAGGATCAGTTATAAGCTGTATTTAGTAAAACTATGAAATGCGTCGCACCGTCCCTTTAAGCTCGGGATTTTCGGCAAGTTTCACTGGTGGCGCTGAAGGGGTAGCGAGTAGGCCAAGTGCTCTAAACTCGTCCAACACAAAGTTCGAGCCGAAAGTTCGCGGAGCGCGCCGATTGGACTATGGCGTCAAAAGCGCTGCGTCATCGTCGCCCGAGTCCAATTGCTGCGCTTTTCGAACTTAGGCCTCAACTTTGTGTTTGACGACTTTAGAGCCCCAGGTCAATGCACATTACTGCACGCCCTATAGCTCAAGTATGCTCTTAAATATGAAGCATCCACTATGATGTTATCACAGCCAGCTGATTCCCATGCTCAGTGTTCAAGTGGATAAAACGTATCTTCTTTCCGACATCGAGTGCAACTTATCAAACTGCGAGAGGCGAAACATCACTGTTTTTGCGAAACGGAATCTGCCACTTAAAAGGTCAGCGAACGCTATTGACAGCGTGCAAGAAGGCAGTGGTGCCATGGTGTAGCATTTAACAGGAGCATTTCCACATGGCTCGAATGTAATAGCCAACCTTAGTTTTTAATAAATACCAATTAGCTCAAATGAGCACAGCGCTATAAACAAAACGGTCTCACAGTTGCACTATTTTTTGTTCCACACGAGACCTGGACATCGAAGGCAATGATCAACTCCACGTTCTGACGAAACGTTTGCAATGGTCTTACATTTACCAAGTTCACGCAATTCGCCGGCGAGGGAAGCGCAATTTGATTATAAGCGGACCGAAAATACTTATCATGTTAATTTGATCATTTACTATCACTGGGAAATGTCGTGCCGTAGTGATTTCCGGACCGTCGAACACGCAAGCGCTTCATAGATGCATACTCCAGCGCTGATAAACGAAAAACGTGGTGGTGAGTTGCTTGCGCTGCCGCTCGCAGCTGCGGGAGATACGATCGAACGCCAGTTCCGAGCTACTCCTGCTCGCCGAACTACGTGTATGGTGCATCAATGACTTTCCTTTTACGGTTATACTATTTTTTGTGGTATAGATACCGAGAGCGTGCGCTCACGAAAAATATACGCAAAATATGCGGCAAAAAAATGCCGCTGTAGCACACTCAATAACGAAAGCGTATCGGGAGTCAGTCTTTCGAGTGCCCCAGAAAAAAAAAAGAAACAAAACCGTTAGAAACAAAATAGTCGGATGTTATCACCCTAAGCAAAGCGCACGAAAAGGCACCGTAACAACATGACAACACATATGCAGGGATGCCAGACTTTAATACGCTTTCGAATGTCAAGGTACCAAACCTTTGCACCGGAGCGAGGTCGAGAAGCGCGACCTCTTGAAGGCAAAGACGCGGTCAAGTGGAGCGCGCAGTGCTTCAGTTTGCGATGTAAAGCGGGCTCTGTCGTTGATGGCGCTGTCAACCAGTTGCCGATGTAGAGCCCCGCGCCCCCTCTAGTTGTGGCACGCTACCAATCGGGCACTCTGAGGTTACTAAACCATGAATGAGCCCTGCTTGCAGTTTTCGGTACATTGTCGCTGCCTCCAAAGCAATCGCCTTTAGGATACTTGTTTTTTCCAATGCCACGTCCGACGCTGTTCACGTAAAACAGTAAAACGCGCCGTGAAGTGCAGCTTGACCGCGAAACGTTCTCACGTGATACTAAGCACATTGTGTGTACAGATCCTCTTTGACGTGAATACGCCTTTAGGATAAAACCAACACGTGTGTTTCGTGCAGATGACCGTTTGATCATCTGCATCGGATCCACATCCTCAGTCTTTCTATCCGGACTCTAAAAGTATCCGGAGTGTCCCTAAATTATTGTATATGCTTTCGATCCGTATCCGGCGAATTTGCATCCAAATCCAAACCGCATCCACGAAATTCGGAACGGCATCCGACCCGGAATCCGCCCATTCATGCAATGTCATTAAATCAAGCGTAGATAAAAAGAAAAGGTCTCGATGGCACTTTTTGCGCCGTTCGCTTACCTTTGTACAAGTCAGAATATGGAGAAAGTCATTTTTACCGTATGTTGTTTTATCGTATTTGCATTGTAAGCGATTATCCTTCCGGAGACAATGTGTGTCGCTGGAAAGATGATCGCAGTAACGAGATCGCCCCGGATGTCGGCGACATTCTCTCCGTTCATCCTTAAGATGAGAGAAGGAGCTCCGCCTTCAGCGCAAGATTTCTGCCCTTTGTAACACAAATGTGAACGCGCAGGCACGGGCAAAGCACTGCGGAAGCCAGTTAGCATGCGTTGAAGGCGGACCCTCTAGAGTGCCTTCATCTGCGCTTCTCATAGAGTGATGCCAACTGCCTGTTTCCCTTTCCCACACCCTCTTCCACCGCCATTTTGTTTCTCTAATTGTTTCCCCGTGCGCCGGAAAGTGGCCTTTGTGTCCATGGGTAATCCCATCTGAGGGGGAAAATGCTAATCCTCCCTCCGTGGGTTCCACAACGCTGCTCCGAACTTCTGAGATAAGGTGCTTGTTTCCGGGAGGGTTATAAGCCCCACGGATTATCGCCGAGGAACAAAATGGCTGCTGGTTTGTCGGCGAGTGGTATTACAAAGGGTGGCATCACCGTAGCAAAGCGCACATGAAGGCTCCCTAGGACCCTCTAGTCTCAACATAAGGGTGAACGGAGTACAGAACATGCGCTCAAACAGAAGAACTTTTCATTATTTTTTTTTGCAACACCCACTTTATGCAGACACGTATTTTTAAACATAATATTGAAAAAGGACATACTAATAAGTTTGTGCCATTTTAT